TTTTTTTTCTGTTCATAACAAGTTCCTCTAACTCTTCAGATTTAAAGCATTTACCATCGGTAGTTTCCACTGTAGCAGCAGTAACTTTTTTTCTTTTTAATTCAGATTGGCTTCATATCTCTCTATTTGTTGTAAAAGAGAGTCTTTTGTAGATTTACAGGCTTACAACCTTACAGGCTGCAAATAATGGTATTTTCCAGAAGTGATTTAGAACTGTACTTGGGGGTTTAAAAGATGTACCCAGAGTTTTACGTTGCCTGCATTATTTCTCAGAAGATAAGCACAAGCTCATACTGAATTCAGCGTTAGATTTAGAAATGAACATTTCTTAGCAGTCTTCATATTATATGATAGATTGTTTTCTGCATTGAAAGCATGTACCTGGAATTTCCTATCTTGTAGATTCCCCCAGGAATGGAGTACCGTGCTGTGCTCTCCACTTTTGGGTGAGATATTGGCATATTCTGTCCAAAGGGTTCGTATGAATTCATTATTTTGGAGCAAATGACTCTTCACTCCAAAATGAGTAGAATGGCTGAGAAACCAGATTTTAGTTTCAAAAGAGTTTTACTCGCATATCTGAAGAATTTCTGTATATTTTTCATAAGAGAGTGATGTTACCTACTAGTGTGTAGATTCCCATGCTCTGTGTTTGTGTTTAACTGCCACTTGTAAGAAGACACATCAGTAGGAAAAATACAGTTGTTCAATTGTGTTCAGAAAACATGGGGATAGCTTTTTTATTATTATTATTGGTCTAAAAAGCATTAGTATTGACTTACAGATGGTCACCTATGCTGGAAGCTTATGAAAGAATCTTAAATTGTGGAAGGATTATTCTAAATTTAGGGAAACATCAACTCCCTAATGCTAAAGGTGGAGTCATGCTGCTAAACATATTAGTATTTCTTAATTCAAACACCTGTTCTGCCTGAAAGATACATAAAAAAGCTCTTATTTATTGCTTGCATCTCCATTTCAGATTTAATCTCACTATAAATTCATCTCATGTTAATTTATGTGCAAACAAAGACACACACATTTTAAATATCCGAAATGCTGGAAATAAACTTATTTTTAATTTTGTGCTTGTTTTCCATTTGTCAACCAGCAAATGAAAGGACTGAATAAATCATGCACTAATTGCCAGCGGTGCTAAATTTAGTGTGAGATCTGGAATCCTTTTGATCAAAACCGCTGAATATGAAATCGTCCTCAGCTCTCTAGGCAACTTTATCCGCCTTTCTATTCTCCATCTGTCAGTCACCTGGGAATTTGTGAACTATTCCATATGTCAGGCTTGTCAATCACAATGGAATGTGGGAACTATCTGCCTACTGCATAGGAATTCTTGTTAAAAATTAATCTGCATTAAACTAGATGTTCTATATTTTGAATACCGTATTGTTTAGTGTTACTAAACATTTTTACCTATATAAGGCTAATGAGAAATTATATTTGACATGATTATTTGGATATAGTAGTGTAAGAGGTTTTTGTATACATACAGAATTTTTTTCACTAGTTCTAGAAGACTTGGGTAATGTTGGTTTTATCACCTATTTCAGTTGTTCTGAGTTTTCTCGATCAGTTCCTCAGGGTCTGGCATTTGAGATTCTTTTTCTCAGTCCAAAGGTGTTTTTCATTTCTAAAGAGGGGCAAGGAAGTTTTTTACAGCCACCTTTGGCTGGATGAATTTTGAAGGGGGGGATATATTCTCTCCAGTCTCCTCCCATGTGTTTCGTTAGAACTTGTTGAACAACCGAACCCAGAAACATGAAATGTATTATCTATGTTGATGAAAATGGAACAACAACGTGGACAGTTGCTTCACCAAATGTTAAGTTGTGGGATCTTCTATTTTGACTTAAAGAAATCTTATTTAAAAATTCTGTTTTCTTTCCCGGTCTTTTCATAAGGAATTATTTAAATACAGCTTCTGTTACAATGGGGAGAGCAACAAATGTATCTATTGAATCTTGTGCTATTAATCAACAGTGTTGCAATGATTCTTCAATAAAGTTGAATTTAGATGATTTAAAGAGGAATTAGTTCTAGTCAACTGCGATTTCCTAGAGAAAATTAAAAGCATATCACAGCATCAAGTAGCCTTTCCAATAAATACTTCAAAAATTCAGATTCTTGTTTATGCTGTGCCATTACATGCAATTGAGTTTGATGAGGAAGGAACACCTCCCTGGACAGTGCTTATGCTGACTTCTGTTTTTATTCCTGCCCTTCCCCTCTTTGCCCTGCTTCTTGCTGACATTTTTTTGATTAGTCACCCTCTTCCACTGGTTGACAAATTCAGGTGGGCTGTGTGTGCTGTGAGCTGAAGTTTCATTAACCTGAAATTCACCTGGCTTTTCTTGCACACAAAGGGGACACCCACTGAACATGTCCTTTGAGCAACAACTCCCACAGTCCAGTCAGAGCCGAGGTAACATCTGTCTGCCTTTGGCTGCTGCACTGTTACACTTAAAATTATAATGCTCATATCTAAATTACCAAAATAACCAAGTTATCTATCTTCGACAGAAATATTGAATTTTGTATTATTTCTCTTTTCTACTTCTGTGGCAGCAACATTGAACAAACATGTCATCTGTGCTTCTAATGTCCTCATTAAAAGAAAATGTAAAGCTTATACATGTTTAAACCATGAAATATATACACATTTTTCTTATGACATTTAAAATCAAGAAAATATTAAAGTCAAGTTTCTCCTTTATCTTCAGGATATGGAAGAAATGTCTGAAGGAGATTTAAAGGATATTTACAAGCATAACTTATATCAATTTTTAAAAAGTTATTTATCATATGAAAAGGAAGATATGTAATGACAAATGATGTTCCTCAAACTTCAATGCATTCCTTTATAAGTCTAAGTTGGGAACAAAAATGGTATTTCACTGCAATGAATGCTAACACAAGTTTTATACCTTATTACCTTCTGCCTTAGTATCCTTTTCTAATGCACAAAACCAGGGAAATTTACATTTTACTTTACTTGTGACTGTGCTAATATGAAGTTTTTTTCTACTTTGAACTTGAGAATGGTATATCTAAAAGTTTGCCTGTTTCTTCCAACTATCAGCTGGTCAAACAAAAGCTATAATGTACTTTTAAAAAGTTTTCATGACTTGTATTCCCTAGAGTCTCTCAGGACCAGTTTTATGCTGCATGGTTTGCTTCTCCCTTCCTATACTATTCTTTTGGCCTTTAAAATTTTGAATATTTGAACAAACAATACCACCTTCTGTTTACCAGCCTTCTGAACTTCTGAAATATAGAAACTTCATAAATGCTTCTAAAAAAATATCAGTGCTTTGTAACTATCTCAATAATTTGGCAAAGTTTTTCCTCTATGGCTGTTAACAGTATCATATTTTAAGAAGATGCATATTACACAAAATAAAATAACATATGACATATACTTTATACTGTAAACACAGGCAGTACCATTGAAGACCAGAAACAACACACTGAGCTCAGAGGAAAACAGTCTGCAAGAAGAGGGTTTGGTTTTAAATCCTCCTTCCACCTTGAAAGTTAATCAGTTTTTGCTAAGCTTTATTTTTGTTCACTTTTAATGAGACTGAAACTCAGGAAAGAATTTTGCCTCTGATCCCATGACTACTTACATTTTTATTACAACCTCTCAGTTTGGACTGTACTTCAAGGCTTTCTGGAGGAATAGGCACATTGTGTTGCTTAGATAAAAGTCTTTTATTGCAGTGACTTCTCCAAAGAGGCTCACTAGTCTGGAGGGACATTATTTTCCCTTTCAGAGTCCAAGAAGTTTTGTATCCATCAAACTGTAGTCATCTCAACAGTTTGCCACTTCAGCTATGCATTACCTTCATTTTTTTTGTTTGTTTTTTTTTAGGTTTGGTGTTGTTGTTGTTGTTGTTGTTGCCTTAAAATTAGGCTTGATATATCAGTGAATGCTTCCACTAAATGCTGCTTCAGTTGCTTTTCAAGGGAAAATTAGCAGGAGCAGCTGTACATTATATTGACTAACCATTATTAGATGGGAAAAGCAACATGTGCATACTCGAACATCTAAATGCCAATTATTTTAGGCAGAACTAAGGGAATTAAAGCTTTGTGTCTCCAGTGCATACAGACAAAAAATCCTAATGCAGTAGGTGACTCAACAGGTATTCTAAGTTTATAGGTGTCCTAAACCTGTTGGCTGATGTAGGTAAGCACTGCAGATTTCTGTCTCCAAGTTTCACATACAGCTCTACATCAGCCTTCAGGACAATTGATAGAGCCTGGAGGGAAGGCTCAAGAACAGCTCAGCCTCGCTCCAGCTGGCAAATACATTTTTAAGCATAAATATTTCTGACACAGGGATCACTTCCATGATTTTTTTTCTATTAATTTCTTCAGCAGAAAAGGAAAAAACCAAACAGACAAGATTGTTTTCAAAAGTTTACTTTCAATTGCTAAATAATTTTAACTCTTCAAGAAATACTGTGCATTGAGGACTGTTCTCACAGGAACTTGAGACAGTTCTGTGTCCCAAGCACTGAGGGAGATGATCTGCTCCCCACCCTGATGTCACCTGCTCCCTCACAGTCTGCAGTGATGTAGCTGCTCTGTCCCAGTGGGCCTGGCTCAGGTACAAGGGTGAACAGAGGGATAGTAAATTAATTTTACCAAACATTTTAAAATGTGTACCTGTTAACATCTTGAAAATAAACATCCAGAAATTAACAGAACCATGCTATGCTATTTTGAAATGTCATCCTGATACACGTATTTATATGTATTATATATATATTTATGTATTTATTGTTATAATTTAAAATATTTATATCTATAGATAGATATAGATAGATATATAGATTAGAGTAGATATAGATAGATATAGATAGATACAGATTAGATATAGATATACACACACTCACTGGTCTTTTTCTTTTCAATTGCAATATGTGTGTTATAGAAGTGCTTTCAATATTTTTCATTCAGACTGCTCCAAAACATACCTCAAATTCATGTGTCATGATGGGTAAAAAGGTGAAGATGCAGGAAAACTGAAGAATATAAAGCTGGGCAAAGGCAGTTGTTCCTTTTCAAGTGAGAGCACTGTGTAGTCCTGTGACCATGCCAAAAACTTCCACCAAACTAACACAAGCTGCAGGGGAAATAAAGGAGAGATCAAAGTTTCAGCAACCTCCTCCCTCAGAGTGCTGCCCCTAATCCTAAATCTAGAATAGTTTCATCTTGACTCAATTATAAGACCATGACTTTGGTGAAGAAAGACTTTTAATGGTGATTAAAAAATAATGTTTACTGTTCTGAGAGATACCATGAGTTCTAAAGACTCTATTTAGGAAAGATAGGAGGGAAAAAAGAGAAGCTTAAAGGTGCTAAGTCTGATTTTAACAAAGAGTTTTTCTTCCTGTTCCTTCCAGCAGAACATTTTCTATGATGGCTGTATTTCCATGTCTGCATGCTTTGAGTGTAGCAAATTATCCATGAAACTGCTGTTTTACTGTGAATTAAGAGAAAAGCAGATCTATGACAGTACAGCTGTTAATATATTTTCCTTTGATTGTGATTAGCCCAGACAAATAATGTTTCAAAAAGAGAAGAAATGATCTACCTATAGAAAATGAGATATGTCCTAAATAGAAAGATAACACATCTTCCTAAGTTTATAATCAAGAATACAATTTCCTCCACGTGAATTTTTTTCCTCCACTTATTCAAAAATTATATTCATCCTGTGCCATGAAAAAGCACGTTATCTGTATTGGAGCCACAGAGGCTATCCAGCCTTTTTATCAGGACATTGTCATGCTAAAGGAAGCACTGGGCATTTAATGAAATGTTGTACTTTCTTCCTCAATTTTGTTTTTCTTTCTCTTCTTGTCCTTGTTTATTAGAACAACTAGAAATAATATTAACACACACTGAACCCCAGCCCTCCCCCACCAATACAAGTTATTGGCTACATTTCTTCCTGATTTGTAATTCCACTATATAATGTAACCATAAGGAAAATTCAGCATTTAACAAGTGGTCATCATATTTCCTTTGAGTTTTAGCTGAAGCATTGACATACACAGACACATCATACAACCACACAAAATGCTTAATATTAAAAGTTAGCCATTGCCAAACAGTGCAGTGTTGACCATGAAAATGTAAATTCTGAGTATAAGGAAAAATCATGACTAGTCTTGTTTTATTTTTGGTGACCTACATATTGAAATATATATCAACATTAAATTTTTAAGAAGCCTTTTTTTCTCTTTCTTAACTGCCTAAGGATGACTTAAGCCTTGTGCTGTTGCCTAGTATAAATCTCTTCCAGCTTTTTTCCTTGATTTCCAGCAATGAGTAAGTATCACTTCAGCTTCTGGCTGATCATAACTGATTGGCATCCAGGACAGAAGGGTCTCTCCCAGAGACCACATGAAGATACACTTCAATATAGAGTCACTTCAAAGTCACACTGAGCTTTCTAGCTATGAGCCATCTTCAAATAAAAATTAGATGCTTAGCCTGCTTTCTTCACTGCTCTTGCCTTCCACTTGAGACTGTAGTTCGTGCCCTGACTGCTATGGAGATTTCTGGATGACAGCTACTCATAGTCAATTCTCAGCCCAATGCCAAAGATAGTTCTTGCTCTCCATTCAAGGTATTAAGCTGAAGAAAAAGATCTGAACACAGATGTCCAATTGTAAGCTTCTCCAATTGTAAGGGGTGGGCTCTGGCTCATATTACATAATTTGCAAGATGCAGGTCTTCAGCCATAAATCAAAATGAGCTGAAAAATGAGCTTTATTGTCCGGGAAATATCCAGGCTGCTTTTATTTATTTATTTATTTATATTTTTGAGGAGCAGGTTATCTGGTTTTTTTGGTTATTGTTGTTCTTTTTGGTTTTTTTGGTTTTTTTTTAACAGTGGAAGAACACTAAAGCAGTACTTTGAAAAATGTTACAAGGTATAAATAGCACTGCTGAGAGCAGAACACAGGCTTTGTTGTGTTATCACACAGTAGATCCAACAATATACTACAGATCCATATTGTCAACTGAAATGGAAAAGAAAAACAGTTCAACAAGAATGTTTCTTAGGAAAACTACCCAATTTACTCCTGTGTGTCTCAAGGCCAAAGCATCTTATCTTTGCAAAAATCATTCTTTTGTAGTGAGTAACAGCAATACTTCAAGTGGTTTTCTGTTGTGTGTCATAACAGGCTTTCTATTGATGTTGCCAAAAAAAAAAAAAGCCTGTACCATGACTTTATACTAAAACTTTTTTTTTCTAGAAGAAAAAAAGTTGTATACCAGATATATTATCAATATTAAGTTCATAGAACCTGAGTAAATAAATGTTTTTCATATTAGCAGTAATATTTTTTATTAGCAATAATGTTTTTATTTTTTTATTATAGACTGCCAGGTTGAGCCTTTTATTGCACTCTTGGTTTGTTGGTCGTGGGTTTCTTTTTACTTTTGAGATTAATTTTATCAGATTGAGACCAAAACTTCCCACATCAACAGAAGACAAGTATTCGGCCAATAGTGATCACTTTTTATTGTGCAGTCATTACTTGGTTACTCTAGTTGATGCACAGATATTGGCTCAAGTATCCAAGACCAATTAAAATAGGAACATTGGCAAGAAAACATAATGATACTTCCTTCAGTTTATTAGTTACGGTAAATGGCTTACAACAAACCAAAAAGCCACTAACATATTCTGAGGTGGATGCATTGTTTCTATACTGTGGGTAATTAAGTGTTTTGGTGGGAATTTCTTCGTAGGACTGATACACAATTAGACAAATTTGTTCACATATCATGTTTCATTGAAGTCTGTATGAGTCTTCTATGCTTGGCAATGGGTCCTGATCCTAGATGCTTTTATGCCTGATTAATTGTCAATATTAGGCAGGAGTTTGCTCATTAGCTCCTAGCAGGGCACATCTCAAATTGCAGTAAGCTCCATTTAGAGATGATATGCTAACTGTTAATAAACTGCATGGATTGTGTGTGTGTGAATCTCAGTTAGCTGACTATATACATATACATATATACATATATTATGCATGGATATACATACATACATGTGCATGTGTACATATATATATATATATATACAAGCACACATTAACTCCATGGAAGAATGGAATAAATACAAATTATTCCCCTGTATACAAGTTGTGGCTGGAAGTGCTGCTAACTTATTCAGGACTCCCTAGTGAATAAAAACATACCAACATAAATTTACTGTGTATTATTCATGCTACATTTTAAGTTTTCAATCTGTCATGTCAACTGCTTTAAATCATATCTAAACCAATGTGCTAAACAGACATCACTTTTAAACAAAAGGAAGTAAATTAAAGAACATCTTGCTGTACAACAGACATTTGATTTGTACATTCATTTTCCAAGGACTTCATTTCTTGATCAAGAGAGATAGAAGGTTGACAGAGAAGCAACTGATAATGCAAACTACTTTTTCCAGATCAACTTTACCTCCTAACTAGTAATGCTGCTGTGCCCAAAAAAGCAGGCTCAATGCCAAAATCTGACTGTTCCCAGGTCATAAAGTTCTTCTCATGTATAAAAAGTAAATACACTTTATTAACATATTTGTTTCAGCTTCTAGATTTTTAAACTCTTCCTGTCAGCTGAAGATGAACTTTTTGTGGCAGAATTAAGTAAAAGTCTTTGTCCAACAAGTTCATGGGAATCAACAGGAAGTTACAAAAAGGAATCAGCAAATTTCCCATTGTAAAAGATCATACTGAGCATGAGCACTAAAGAAAGAAACCCTGTAAAACTAAAAAAGAAAAATCAAAACAAACATTATCTGTTTCAGTCTCATGTGTGAAGGAGCAATGATGTGGATGTAGCAGTAAAGGCTATTCTTAAAGTGTAAAACCTTGAACTAAAGTGGTGATCTGAGTATTTTTATTCTTCAATGAGACAATGCTGCCTCCACATTCTCTGATGCTGTAACTACATTTCAGAGGTGACAATGAGATACTTTCATTGGGAGGTCTTCTGTCTTCACAGTACCAACTGTCAGTTGTTACACTGCTCAAACCTGAAAAGAGGTTGTTTGTGTGGTTTTTTCCATACAATTCCACTAAGAACCAAAGATTACCAAGTAGACTCAATAAAATACTTAATCCTCAAGTTAACCAAAAAACACAAGACTACAGAAATATAAATAGTCATGCAGATCTCTCTTGGGAAGTACATGAAAAGATAGAAACAAATATAAGGAAATGACCTTCAAATACTCAGAACAGACACAATTTTGCTTTGATTTATTTTTTACACTATTTGCCAAATATTGTATTCCAGTATCACTAAAATAGGGCATTGACTCACATTCGAGCAACTTCAGTTTTAACTCCCCAAACTATCTTGATAATAGCATGAGTAGTTGCACATTTCAAATCTATAACCAGCCCTCACTTGTTAACACAAGATCAAGCACGACTGGAATACAGATTTATCAAACAGAGGCCACTAGTACGTTACTCAGACATCTCCTAAAGCAAGCAACTGCAGCAGGATTGATTGCTAGGTAGAGCTCATCACATTTGAAAATAATAAGGTACCAGGGTTATCTCTAAAAGTGAAGCAGTTCCCAAAGTGTCATCTTTCAAGATTATTAGGTTTGAGGTAAAACTAATCCTGATTAACATTTCTTAATTCATAACAGCTATTTCTTTGCTTCAGACTTTAACTTCTTGAGTTCTTATGACTGCTGGAATATATTTGTATGCAATGCAAAAATATGGGGTTTGAGTTTTGATTTTACAGTCAAAATCCTTTCTGCTCATCTTCAAAGAATAAAAGGTGGCATTTTGGTGACAACCAGAGAAAGCATGCCTTGATAGGAAACTCACAAGACTTCAGTGGTCTTTCCCTGTGTTCCTCCCATCCTTCCGTACTAAAAACTGATGAATCAAGGTACAGCTTTGGTACAAATAGAGAAAGAGATTAAGTCACATCTTTTGAGGAGCAAACTAGAGAGTGGTGAAAGTCTCATAAATTAAAATCTTTATAGACTATGAAGAAGCTGGAATCTAAGAGATTGCTAAAACCTCATTTGAGGTTTAATCTAAGGATTAATCTAAAACTGTGACTAATGTACTT